CGACGAGTTGTTGGATGCACTCGACGAGTTGAGGTCAACCTGGACTGTTGACCTTGAATTTGACCAAGGTTGAATTTGAATATATTTATGGTATTTTGAGATTGTGACAAGTTAATCACATGATGACTATGTTGGGTATTGAGCATTCTAACACTCCTATGGTGTACATGAAACCCTAGAAACCTTGTATCTATGTTGTACTATGATATATGCAAATTTGATTTTCCAAGGTTCATAACCCATCTAGCATAAATAGGGAACATTAAACCATAAAAGCTAGTAAAAAAACATACCTTTGTTGATGGAATTCCTTTGAGATCCTTGTGAGCCTAGTGCCCCAAATGTGATGCCTCAAATGCTTCACACAATAGCAAATACACTTGGAATAACCTTGAGAGAAATGCAACACACTTAGAAATCGGCTATGCCCTCTTGTTCTCACTTAGTGGCGGATTTTGGTAGCTAACATAACCTTTTTATAGTGTGTCACTAGTAGGGTTACACCATGTAAACCCCAAATGACATGACTTTCCATTTCTTGGATCCATGGGTTCAAAAGAACTATGGAGCATCTCATGGGTTTTAGCCCAACTCAATAAACCATGGACTATAAGCCCACTATTAAAGAAATGGATGATTAGACAATTAGCCCATATATTTAATTAGTCTCCTTTTGATCACAAAATTAATTCTAAATTAATTCTTGATCAATACTAATTAAAAAAAGATTATTAATATATTAGAACTTATAATATATTAATAAACTATAAATGTCTTTCTCTCATTTTAGTCTACCCAAGTGCATGATGCCATGTAACCCAAATGGACCATGCCAAACCGGATCAAGTACATACCATAAATAGTCATGGACTTGGACACCTTATCCAATAGTCTCCCACTTGGATAAGTCTAATAACTATTACTGCAAGTATGACTTCAGGAACCGATTAGCAATCGTAACTCTTTCAAGGTCCCTCAGAATTGAGATGATGATGTTATGCCATTTAAGATAAGTGATCATAAAATCCTCTGCTCTCATGATATCAGCCGGACAAATACATGGAACAATGTCGTACTTATTGTCTAGCAGTTTGTTTCCCGATTTCTAATTTCTTCGACATAGAACTTAATCGAACATATCAATTTAGTTCTGACTGAGCTCGATACATAGTTCAAAACAAAATCATCGAGGGGACCAGATATCGCTTATAGTCCAAGAAGTAATAGATAAACTTTCCCTCATATGCTTGTTCTACTACTTGCTAAATTATACACAAAGGCACGTTTTATAACATCGAGTTACCAATGCGTTTTCGTAGAATCAATGTATAACCAACTCATAGTCAACAACTCATATCTCTAGGTTTGAGGACTTATATGATATTACCTTCTCACGATCACTCGAGATAAATTCAATGAAATGATACAAGTGAGCGTGGGTTGAATCCAATACTCAGAACTTATGAGTACTCATGAATGTTGTAGCAACTCTTGCTATGTCCAAAACCTTGGACATCTACATGCCAACTTCATGAAAGTCTTAATTCATATGTACTTCCTACATATGGCCGACTGTGGAGATTTTGAATAAAGTAATTATTCTGGAAGTTAAAACATGCAAAGCTAAAATAATAATAAATAATCGACAAAGATAATAACACTTTACTCATGAAAAAACAACAATATTATTCATCATCAAATGTCGATTACATTTTACAAGTTTTAGAAATATCTATCTAATCTATAAAACTAATTTCATCCTTCAGCCCGATGTGCTTCACTTGCTGAAAATGCTTAACCCTACTAAGTCCCTTCGTGAAGGGATCTGATTCGTTCTCATCCAATGATACCCTCTTTGGCACGAGGGGTCCTTATGTATGATG